GAGGCGGAGTGTCGGCAGAAGGCGAAGGGGCCCAGGGAACCTCTTCCCGCCCCCTCACCTGCACGGCGCGGCTGGAAGTCTCCACGATGTATGCTGCCTAGACACGGCCTTAGGTGTTAATGGAAACATTCCTCCTCCTCTATTCAACTGCGGTCCTTAACAGGGACTTGGCGCGCAGTTTCTGTCGCTGTAGTGGCAGGGGAACATTGATGTGAAACCCAGTTTAGAGGGCTCCAGTCCACATGTGCGCCAGTAGCCTTTATGGTAATAATAAAAAACTGAAATGTTTTAAGACAGACCAGGTAGTCGAGCTTTTCCATTCGGAGTCTCCATTGCAATGTCCTCAAATTAATATTTTAAGTTCTGCAGAAGGTATGGGCGTTGCGAGTACAGACAGGATTGGCAGACTAGAAGAGGAGCTTGGTCACAAAATGTCTCCTCCTGTGTTTTGCCTGCATAATAAAAATACCATGAAAAAGTAGATCCGTATTCCTTCAGTAGACCCAGGTTTGTCTGATTGTTTGCCATTTAAATATGTGGACTTAAAATTGTATATGAATGCTGCATTATTTACAAGACAGGACTGTGGTGACTTTTTTAGTACAGCTGCACTTGACTGGATACTTGGAACTAAGTTCAGTGTTGCACCATGAGGACATTGTCAATGTAACCTCTCTGATTTCAGATCTGATTTTCTACCAGGGTGGTTTGCATCCTGAACTGGTAGGGCAGTAGGCTGATGTGTTCAAGTATGCTTCACAGAGATGGAGCTTTAACTATCATTTAGGAACAGGCACAAGATCCCCTTCCAAGACATGACTTTCCTTTCCCTTATTTTCAGTGGGAATTTCTTTTCTATTAAACACTAGAATATAGTACAACTCAAGCATTAAGAAAACATGCTAAGCTTTATTCTTCTCCCCCACATCATTTAAAAGAGCATTTTATTATTATTTTGTATTTAGAGACCAAATCTTTGTAACACCTTCTATACCTGACTTAGACACTAGATTTTCTTTGTAAGTCAATATAAATTCCATAGCTCCTTTGGTATCCTGAAGTATTAGTTCAATTTGATGTTGTAAAGTACTACTGCATAATGATTTTTTTAAAAAAATAGGACTTTCAAATTTCCTATTCTCAGAACAAATGCAAGTAAGTATTAAGCAACAAAAATGCCTCAGCATGATATGCTGCTGTTCATTGCAATTCCAGGACTAACATGTCAATTAAGCAGTTTTCTGTAAATATGAAAAGAAATTTGATTTCCATTACAGCTGCGAGTATTGAATGTACAGTTGAAGAATATATCTTAACTATTACTAAAAAGAAGAAGCACAAGTATCTTGACCAGAGATATATACTATGATGTATAGATTAAGAGACTTTAAAGCCACAAGGGATAGCTGCAACAGTATATAGGCTGCTATACCTTTCAGTATAGTCCATAGAATTTTATGTAGTAAATCTTACAGTTTACCCATTAAGTTGTAGTTGCAGAAGAGGATTTCCTTTGGAAATACATCCAACTTTCAGTCTGAGGAGTGGGAGTCATGATTACTGTTCACCTAAATAAAGCCTGAAGCTTGATGCAGAAACTAAAGTATTGCTTTGCTAGTTCTGAAAACTGACATTGTTCACTTGAGACCAGGTCAATTCTTGTGTCGGAGAACTACTCAGTTACTTTGGAAGTAAGATACCACCCACTGAGAACGAGGACCACTGAGCTGGGGCTTTTGTGTTTCTGTCTACATCTACCTGTAATAGTTTTACATAAGGCATTTTATATGAAGAAAGATTTTCAAACATTACGTTTTGATTTGATTGTCAAAGACAAGATAAGACTTAAAACTACTCTTAAAAAATGTAATTTTAGGTCACTGCTGATTTGTTCTGTAGGTATATGTTGATCCTCAGTAATGGTCTGGCTTCTGCACTGTCTTGTAGTAAAAAGTACCTCACCCTAGAGTGACACTACTCACAGAGTAAAAACCTACTCAGTGAAAAAGTGGCAGAATGTGACCTTAAATTAATTTCTTGACATGTCCCCTTCACATTGATTTTCAAGGAAAATGTGTGAAGCCTCTGTCTTTAATGCCTCCCTCATCTCCCAAGAAATTCCCAGTATTCAGACCGTTGTGTGTGCAGAGATGTAGAAACAATGGTTAAACTCATGGACAGATGTCTGAAAGCAGACAAGAAAATAGAAACCCAAGTTAAAGGCTGTATATCAAAGTGAAATAAGCTTGTCGGAAATCAGATTTATTCCCATACAAAGACACAGATCTCTTGTTCTGCCATTGCTGTTGGCAGAGTTAATATCTACAAGGAAATTCATATTTAAGCTATTTATTAAGATAGGGTATTCCATTGCTCCAACTGAAATTACGAGCAAAATGTTTCTATTGACTAGAAACAAGCATAGTTTGAAGCCCATTGTATGCTGTGTCTATGTGTCAGACAGTTTGTCCATGATGTGTATACGCACCGCTGCTTTCTGCCAGGATGTCAGACCTGTAAAGCCTTTGCAGTGATGCTGACCTCTATTACAGGTGCAGCCTACAGAGGATAAATCCTAACGTTCATTTAGCATCAAGCATGATGGTAGAAGGAAGGTAACATTCTTTAGATCTTTACAGAGAGACCTTCCATTCTTTTTGAGTTTGCTTATTTACTTTGGAAAGAGAAGTTTTAAGTAAGAAGTGGGTAAATTCTATGGCAGTACACTGAACGAACAGAATAATCTCTGAATGGACGTTATTGTTTAAATCTGTTAATTTTGATATAAATATGAGAAAAATAGATGTAAAAGAATAGCATCAATACAAACTTTTTTTTACAATGTTAAAAACATGAATTACATACAAGAGCTATGTAACATCAGCTCATTTTATCTCAACAGACTTTTCAGAGGAAGAGCAGTGGAGCTTAACACTAAGAAAGTAAGCTCTTCAACTTTATTTAACCATTTACATTTTCAACAAAGTAGTTAAAAGACTCTGTATGTCTCTATAACAATCCATAGCACCTCTTTAACAACCATAGCAGGTATCAGAAAAAATGCAAGGGAATTGCAATTTTCTTCCATCTTCCTTGAGAGGAAGGGATCAGTGGAGACCGGTCAGGTGATACAGATTCATGGTTAAAGAAAAACATTTTTAGTTAGATTTTGTGAGAAGGTTAGCTATCTTTGTATTTACTAATCTTAGGCCACGTTTGAAAAAAAGGTTTAAACTAGACACATACCTCAATGACTTTTTTAATACCTTGTTTAGTGCCCATAATATTGACCATCTGTTTAATAGGCAAGGTTTTGCTATTGGTTTGCATTAAGCAGAAAATTATTGCGTTTGTGACAAAGAAAGAGGAGGAAGAAAGAGAGACAGAGTGTGTAGATGCATGCTGATTTAATTGTCAAATTGTAATTTAGAGAGTGAGTTCAGTCCTTCAATAACAGAAATCATATTTGAGTCTAAATGACAGAGAACTACGTATATCTGAAACTATGGCATCAGGAACTTAGTTCTCACACAGTATTTCAGTAAAAGTATTTATTTAC